TGAGCCTTGGAGACAACTAGAGTTACCACAGTAATGAAGAGAAGCAGATGAAGAGAGGTGTCATTAAAATAAATTCCTTTGTATTGCCGAAGTACTCAATTATTGCAGCATTGAGCACTGTGGAAAAGCCCATTCAGGCCTAAATACTTCTGTATCTAAGGATCAGTATATGTTGAGTGATGCAACGTCACATATTGAACATTGAGGATGAAGTGAAATATGAGATGTGAAACAGAAATCTCCTGGATCTCAGTCTTTCTCCTGCTGTACCAATACATTTATATGTATTCATATAAATCCCTGTCATAAACCAATCAGGTTTTAACTGAAAACTGGCTAGGTCTCCTAATTGCTGTCATGAATCTCATGTAAGCCTCTGTGCCTCACACATTGCTTTCAAGCTCCCTCCACCTGGATTGCCAGCTCCAAATCTAGAAAGTGGAAGTATTTTTTTCCTCAGATGCATCCTAGCAGTTGAATATCCCAAAATCTTCCAGTGATATTAACCCAGTGGCAATCAAAGAACTATTATCAGGTCCTGAAGGCACTAAAAGGACTTCAACGGCCTTGACCAGCCCCACCTGGGACCCCCAATGCACCTGCTCTGTCCATTGGCTCCAGGGCTCCATTTAAGCTCAGCCCAGGGCTTCCAGTCCCTGTTTGAGCTCTGCTGTGGATGTGCCTGTCTGTGTCCCTGCCTCTGCCTCCTGGATGGACTGTGGGCCTATGCTGTAGGTAGCTTTCCTCCTGGTGGGCTCCCTTGTTTGCGTTGCAGCCTGTCTCTCGTTCTGCCTCCTGGATGGACTCTGAACCCATGTTGTAAGATCATTTCTGGGCCTGTCTCTTACTGCTTCTGAACTGCCCCTGGTCCATCCCCTTGCTGTGTCTGGGGCTGTCAGTGGACTGTGGTACCAGCTTCCTGCTCTGCCCACTGTGCTCAGGATGGTGTCCCTTCAGTAAGGGCACAGCCTGTGCTGTGGTAACCCTCAGCCCTCAGCCAACAGCTCTTCAACCCTAAAAGAGCAACTGGTCCTTGCTGCTCCCTAACAATCATCTCCTTAATCATCATCATTTCCTTGCAACTTTGACCCTGCTTTCTAGGGAACAGAACAGAAAAATATCAGTGCAATTGCACTGAATTGGTACTTCTCAGACTATTTTTCTCTACCTTGGTATGATCATCTTTGTAATCCAGTGCATCCTGAGGTCTTGCATTTGGTAGAGAGCATAATCATCTAGGTTTTTTTGGACCTACTTTTGTGAGAGATGGGGACTTCAGCAGTGAATAGTAAATCAGAGATATGCCTGCTTTCTTGATATTAGTGTTGAGTGCGACTCACATTCTTCCTTCCCTAAGCAGATATCCCATTTCCTATTTTATCTGACAGCATCCTGTATTTAATTCTTGTTCCTTCCTGGACTTTGGCCTCTGGCTGCCTCTCCTATCTCTTCCTCTCTAACAGAACAAATTGTTTGTCTCGTTACTTGCAGCCACCTCACCTGCCCTTATTTCACTTCATGCTTAAGTGTAACAGGTCTCTTCCACATCTCAGTTTCTCCTGCATTAACCAGTCTCTCTGCAAAGGCTACTTGTACTCAATCACCTTTCTTGTGCGTGTTCTACTCAAGCTGTCTCTGCTCTTGTCTCCTACCCAGCTCCTTTCTGCATTTCATTGTGACCTTGTGTTGCACTCTCCTCAGCTGTTTTCACCTATAAATGCTGTCTATGAGATTACTGTCCATGGAAAAAAAATTCTTCCATGAGATACCCACTCACAGACAACACATGGCAAACATTAACCTTTTCCTTTGCCCCAGTACCCATCAATTCTCTCTTCCTTGTTCTTAAACCTATTCACAAAAGGTTACTCCTCAGACCTAACACTTCCTAGAAGAGTTCCATGCCAGCCCCACTGTTTACTTCTCCCTGCTCAGTGTCTCTCCTGTCCACTGGCTGCTTGGCTTTTCAACCCTTTTATCTAAACCAGTTGTCCTTCCACATAGATTTGGTAAACAGTTCAATAGCAGGGATCACAGGCAGGAAGCTTCCTTTATGCCTCTGTCCTACTCACAACACGCCATTCCTAGACAGCCTCCACTAAATACAGTTTGCAACAAACCAGTGGGCAATAAGCAAACTAACACATCTACTTTACTTCCAAAGAACAGCCAGACTCTTCCTTTCTCACTGAATTTTCCTGTTTACTTTCTGAATAATTGTTCATGAGTGTTCACACCATCTGTGCTGTGCACTGTAAGCACAGGGTCTTGTGGAATAATGAATATTTGATCATGTCATTCAAGGCTACAACAATTGTGTGCGTTAATTCTGCCATTTCCCAACTGTACAATCTCAGCATTTCTTTCATGTAACTTTTTTATATAGTGAATGCACAGTTTGTGTATATAGCTCTAAAAAATCCAGTGGTGTAACTTACAAAATTTACATTGAAATATACTAGCATTTTCCTAAGAATGACTGGATCCAAGATTTTGGTTATGATTCATTTTGGCAGGAGCTATAATGTTCAGACAGTCCGGAGTTTGGGGACATTAAAATCTATGGTACTGGGTCAGACTCATTTTAGCTTTTCTTGCTCCTGGTCTTTTTCTCTGTTCTATGGCCCTGAAAAACAGTCACTGTGTCCACACGGGGGAACATATAAGCCTGAAGAGCCAAACCCAAATAGGGAGAACCCTGACACTGCTTGTTAGTATTTTTGTCTTTGCTTCTGTAATTTGTCATCCTATTTAGCGCATTGAACGTGGATGACTTTCTTGTATAAAGGTCTGGAGAAGCGTCACATGCTGTATCCTCCCGAGGTTCACCGGTGCTGAGCTCTGACAGAAACACACACCCTGAAGTCTGTGCTCAGTCTTCCGTGAGGAGGTGGCCAACCGCTCCGTGCGGCAGCAAATCTGCCAGCTGGCTGTAGAGGGGTGATGGCATCAGCTGCAGCCTATCCCCTGAGCGGGCTACATCGCATCTCTGCTCTGGGAGGATTAGAAACCAGGGGAGCGGAGAGCAAATTGCTGCAGGGAGATGAGTTTGGGGGCAGGGGAGCACGTTTGTGCAACTGCTCTTTTGAACGTTTCTCGCTTGATCGCGAGCTACCTGCGACGCGGGATGGGGGAAGGGAGGACTGCAAAGGGTGAGTATGACTTTCAGGAAAGACTATGGAGAAACGTAGCTCGCATTAGTGGTGAGATTAAAGGATTAGATTAAATTCACACCCCTGACAAATTGAAATTTTCAGCCTCTGCTTTGTGTGTAACATGCAATGGGCCAGAGCAGTGACAGTGGTTACAGAGCTGAGCATCCTCAACAGCGCACAGAGAGAGAGGGGTCCAGTCCCTGATTTCTGTGCATTTCCTGCTGTACAAGTGTCTCCTTGCATGTGAAACACATACTACTAATTAGCAGCTTCTCTTGTGATAAGCATAGACTATGATCTATGGTACCACATTTCCCTTTCTCCTACTCACTGTGCTGGATATTTCCACAAATAATTTCTCTGGGAAGTCCTTCCTCTGAGGCATTGCAAACAGATATTTTAATCCTACTCCTTAATTAAAAACAAAACAAACAACAAATAAAACCACCACCAAACAAACAGAAACTACAACAGAAAAACCCTCCTGTAAAGCACTTCGTGAATGTGACTCAATATTACAGAATCTTGTGCACCAAAATCACACTCTCTAGTGAAACTGGCTATTATATTCCTGGTGTGTGAAATGACTTGAGAACAGAAGCAGCTTCAACAGTAACTTTCCACTGGTAGGCTGGACCAGCTCAGTTTCCAAAGTCAGGTTTCTGGTGTAAATGCCTGATTCCAAAGCTAACATATATTATAATATTTCCATGATTAAAAGTTATTATTGTGTTCCAATGAAGGCAGGTAAGTACAGAGGAAGCAAGTTTGGTTTTTTTTCAGGTAAATAGTCACGAGAGAGAACTCCACTCTTCGGCCAGTTCTAGTCAAGGCTTTTTGCACTTCTTTGTTTCCCCCTCAAATACTTTGTAAACTGTTGTTTCCTAGTTTGGGTGGCTTTACATACATCGAGCTTGTAGATAAGCCCCAGTCTTCAGCCATGCCAGCTTTTGCTCATTTTTGTTGAACATCTTCCAATTTCTCATTTATCTGGCAATAAGGTCTTCAAAACTGAACACAGCATCACAGCGTTCAGTTTTTCCTGAATTTCCTGTCCACTTGGAGTTAACAGTGCTCTTGGTTACACAGTCCAAAATTCTACTGGGCCTTTTCTGCTAACCTTTTTTATATATATATTCATATGTAAGTTGGTAGGTTGGTGCCTACTGTACTTAAGTCTCTTAAAATATCAGTGCTTTCCTTTCACAGAATGTGTGGTTTGGATTGTTTTTCTCTAGGCATACTGGCTGGTATTTTTCCAGGTTTAATGTTTTTGCTACATTTTTAACTGTGCTAGGAGGTCACAGGATTACTTGCTCATTCTTCTAACAATTTATAATTTAGTAATTCATGGTGATTTCATTGCTCTATATTTACTCCCTCTTCCAGACCACTGTTACTGTCAAATAAGTCAGGGTCCAGCATCCTCTGTTGGACTGCTCTCCTGTGACTCAACTCTGCCAGTTGAGAGGGTATTTGACACAGCCTGGAAGTGACTACCTGCTCAGGTGCTCTGCATGCTCTTGCCCTGAACTTGTAAATTAAAATAAGCTGTGTTAGTTTACCCAATGTAAATAGCCTAAAGGCTGCTCATCAATGTAGTAGTAAAATAGGCAACTGGAGAGTTAAAAAGAAATTGTTGCCACATGCACTTAAACTGGAAGACAGAAGAAAAATCATCATTACACCATTAGTGACTGTGTGGAGACAAAGCTGCACATTTAAGCTCCGGGCTCTGTGGCTTTCCTAAGAGAGCCAGGCAGCTGTGCAGGAGTTGTGCAGGAGATGTCCCACCTCCTTGTTCTTGCTTGTAGCTACTTGAATGTATTCTCTTTCTCCTGACAGGTCCATGGAAAGTGTGTGTGTAGGCACAACACAGCAGGGGACCACTGTGAGAAATGTGCACCACTATATAATGATCAGCCCTGGAAGCCCGGAGATGGAAAAACAGGGGCACCAAATGAATGCAGAAGTAAGTGGGGGGGAGTTTACGGATCCAGGCTTTCAGGATGAGCACCCACCGTGCCAGCAGTAAAGTTCCCTAACAAAGACTGCTGTCCATTTACAGTAATGGTGCCATTGCAGAACCTGGTAATGACTGGTAATGACAGTTGCTGGTTATTGATGGAGAACACCAGTATGCATGTTCTTTTACTGCAGCTGACCCATTTGGGCTATCGGGAAGTGGCATTTACAAGGCAGAAATCTGTTCTTCAGGCAGCTACGTCCCCTCACATGTTTTAGCCCTCCAGGGTTTTGTGCAGGGCTTATGATACCATCGGATTGGTTTGTGTTACTGTAAGAACGCTACACAGCTCACAAACAGCCAAGCTTCTCAGACCCTGCTGGGACTCTCACTCTGTGTTGCAATTTCTAGTTATTATGGAAGTTAAGGATTGCAGGCAGATGCAACATGTTCCATTCAGATATTTCCTCCATGATTCACAGTAGGAAAATAATACCATTTGAATAGTATTGTTGTGTCTGTTAATAAGCCTGAAATACACTCTTCTGTTTCCCCCCAGAGTGTCGCTGTCACAACCACGCCGACAGCTGCCACTTTGACCTGAGTGTTTGGCTGGCATCGGGAAAGCGCAGCGGTGGGGTCTGCGACAACTGCAAGCACAACACAGAGGGACATCGGTGTCAAAGGTGCAAACCAGGGTACTACCGAGACAGAGGGAAACCCATGTCTTCTACAGAGGTCTGCAAACGTAAGTGACTGTTGATACGTGCAGTGAAGACAAATGGTGAAAGAATTATTATAAGAAAGAAAGAAATCAATAACTCCTACAGAAGTAACTCACAAGTATTACTGTCCTTTCTTTGTATTCTTTTCCTAAACTATAGTTTTCTGATCAAAAGACATCTTCCTGATTTCCTGTGTCTCTTTCTGCCTCGGTATCACACCTTTTTTTTTTTTTTTTGTGTGACAACTCCTACAGTTCTCCAAATGCATTGCATTCTGGGGAAAGGTACATTATTCTTGTGCTTGCCTTTAAAATACTATGGTTCCTTTCTTGTTGAGACACATTCTATTTAGCTGTTTTTCTTTGCATCTCTCAAGACTGTGTGTGCCTATGTGTAAGTTATTGTTAAATTCCATGTGATTGTGCAACATCTGTGCACATAAATATATACAGTAGCGGCTGCAGGAGGTGTAGGAAGCACAAGACCACACATATCCACTTGGGAACAAATAAAGCAGAGCTCACTCAGACTTATCTCTGGATTCTACAGTTCTACTATGGGGTGCTGTGCCCAAATTAATTGCCTCATTAACACTTCAGCAGTATGTGTTAGGAAGTAACTCGGGCATAGAGGCACTAATGGTTGTACACAGCAGCTGTACAACCTCTGGATCAAGGTAGTTTGCACCCAGTCAGTCTGGAACACAGCCCGTAACTCCCTTACTTAGTGTAAACATTTCCTGAGTATCTTGCCAGGCTTCACACATCTGATTCCATCTGGCATCTATTTGGGAGGTTGCTATTTCCAACAATATACATCATTTCATTTCTCCCTTTGGATAGTTTTCCTTCCCCGTAGCTCAGATATCAGTTGACAGCACAGAAAACTTCATCCTCTGTCATCTATATTCATGCCCACTGGCATCATGTGTTTTTGACGTTTTCCTGACCCTTTGATGTTCTTCATCAAGATTCCTCTTAAACACTCAGGTTACAAACCCTCCTCTCCCTAGGACTGTATGGCCTGTGATATTGCTTTAACTTTTTGTGCACGGCACATCCTATGTTTCTGCTCTTTTGTATTCTTTCCACTGGACCTTAGTGCCAGCACAGACTGTCCCCTTCTTTTCAGTTTCACAACATTCATCCCCGGACACTGATCAGCAGACAGGGCTGGAGGTGAGCTTATCTAGCTCACCCTGTATCCCATAGTGTTCTAAGGTGGCCCCTTTCTAGTCCTATTTCTACTCTGAGCAGATTTGCTACAGGGAAATGTTGTAATGAGAAGAAAATGTTGTGCCAGAAGACTAGTTTTCCATCTCATAGTACCTAAAAGAATCTGTGTATGAACTCTTGTATTTAACAGCAGGGTGATGGTGTAGTAACCAACATTATGTGTAATATTAGATAACCACTAAAGTCAAGGAGCACTGGAGAGCAGTGAAGAAGAAAAAACATTGTTTGAAAATACAGCCTATCTGTGTGGAAACCTTAGAACAGTCTGCCTGGATGAAATCAGACCTTGACTCTACCTCTGCCTCTTTTGTCTGGTCTGGTTACAGGCCTCTCAGTATCTCCTGCCAATATTCTGCATAGCAAAAGAAAAACTGTTCAGAAATTTACCTTGTAAAAAAGAGCTTTCTTCCTATCATGCCAGTCAAGCACAATAATGTTCCTTTCACCTGGGAACACGTTGCTGCCAGCAGAAGGCCCCAAATGCAATTGTTTCCACTCTGACTTGCATGCTCAGGCTTAGAAAGCTGCCCTCCTACTTTAGCCAGTCTTTTCTAAGCTCCCTGTACAGTCAGTGGAGAAACAGTGAGACCTCTAGGGAATGATTTATTGCAGTTTAACGTAGATGCCTGACATAGATGAGCTGAATTGCCCTCTAGAGGATATCTATTTCTCTTTCTTGACTTAAGAGGTATTCTGGATCACTAGCCTGCACTGGAGTTTCTGTTGGTTGAGATGAATCCAACAGGTTTGATTCAGCATTATTGCAAATAGGTAAGTATGACCCTACCTGTGCATGATTCAAGTCAATGGGACCTTTCATGGGTGTGTAAAGGCATGTGTGAATGCTTGCTGTATCGAGATATAAGGAAAGGGTACTGCAGTTCACTCTAGAGAGACTCAGCTTTAGAGCAGACTGATGTGTGCACGATGCTTGTACCTGTGTGGAAATAGAACAGACACTGCAGATATAACCACAGAGTTCCGAGAAACCTGGGAGGGGCATGGTTAGTCTGTGCCTTTTCTATTTTAGGAGAATTTCCACAATGACATTTGACAAATTACCTTAATAGGGTAGTGTTTTGTATGATGACAGAACTGATGCCCAAACACTTCCCCATGTGGTTTGCAGGCCGCGTGTAAGTGTGCACGTCATGCTACGCTGTACCTCTGGGGAGAACTTTTGCTGTATCGAGATATAAGGAAAGGGTACTGCAGTTCACTCTAGAGAGACTCAGCTTTAGAGCAGACTGATGTGTGCACGATGCTTGTACCTGTGTGGAAATAGAAGGGACACTGCAGATATAACCACAGAGTTCCGAGAAACCTGGGAGGGGCATGGTTAGTCTGTGCCTTTTCTATTTTAGGAGAATTTCCACAATGACATTTGACAAATTACCTTAATAGGGTAGTGTTTTGTATGATGAGAGAACTGATGCCCAAACACTTCCCCATGTGGTTTGCAGGCCGCGTGTAAGTGTGCACGTCATGCTACGCTGTACCTCTGGGGAGAACTTTCAGGGAATGTTTCACTTTACGTTTCAGGGAACTGCACGCCAGCGCAGACAGGAAGAGTGATTTTGGTTAGAACAGACTTGGTTTGACAGAGGGAAGATTTCACCTCCAGCACCATCACTAGCTCCTTACACACAGAGCTGATATTAAACCAAAAGGCCTCATGCAGGATGCAATATAAAGGCCGCCTTCTCCATCCTTTAGGTTGAAAAAAACTTAATCTGGTGTGGTCTGAGTAAATTCTTCAGGTTGTGTGACCAGCTCCTTACACACAGAGCTGATATTAAACCGAAAGGGCTCATGCAGGTTGCAAGATAAAGGCCGCCTTCTCCATCCTTTAGGATGAAAAACTTGCATTGCTATTAAACTTAATCTGGTGTGATCTGAGTAAATTCTTCAGGTTGTATGACTCTAGAAACAACTCTGGTTATTTAGTAAAAAACAGTTACTGTTTTGAGCATTGATAATATGTAAGAAATTAGACAATTAGAGCACCAGGTACATTTCTCTCCTACTTCAGCCTACTGATCATAAATTGAAGAGGTACCACTTCTGGATTAGCATGTTTTTGAGGATTTAGATATACTAATTCCAAGGCATCATCTCACTTTGAGAAAACCATGCAAACAATGCCGGCCCAACAACAATAAATAAAAAACCCTCGCACTAGGCAGGTGCTGAAAAGCAGTAATAAACCGCAAACAGCAGACTGGACAGATGATTTTGATGAGAGCAGCCTGGTCCTCAGCTTCCCATTTTGAACTCAGAGGGGAGAAAAAAAAAACCTCAATGGGAGATCAAAACTTGACCCTTGTGTACAGTAGATACTGAGCTGGGAAAAGAAATCTGATGAAAAAGCTGAATGAAATGCTGTGCTAATCCCTTTGAGAAAGCACGCTTGAAGAGTGCTCTGCCATCCAGAGCAAAGTCTAGGTTCAGCTGTGACATCCCCCTCAGGCTCCCAGAAAGTTAACAGGACACTGCCCCGGCCCAGAAAGAGTCTTTAAGCATTAGTCATCATAATGAACAGCATTCTCTCTTAATCACTGCTAGGGAAAAAAAGTTGTATAACAATTGGATGTCCCAGCACTATCCAAACCACCCTTTGCTGACCCTCCAATGTGAGACCGCAAAGACATGTCCTTGAAAGAAAAAAAAAGAAAAAAGTGTGGAAATTGGAAATGTAAGTGTGAATCTGCTATTGCTTTTTGTCTGCAGAGGTAGCCTGCATCTGGTCCCTTTGCTTCTCCTGTTCCTAGCAGCTGGGGATGAATGAGAGCCATGTTATGTGCAGATCCTTGTTTTGACACTGCTTAGATCTATATTAAAAAAAAAAAAAAAAAGGCATGAGAAGAGCCCCAGAGCAAGGCACACACCTGCCTGTTATTGGGGGTGACAACAGGGGATTAAGTAGTTTGGATATAGACTTGTATGGGAGCTTTGACTCGGAAGCCTAATCGTTTCCTAACCAATGGTTAGAAAAGCTGCTGTATCCTTGGCTCTTTCCTGTGGCTTATCTGGAGGCTTAAGGGATCCTTCTGAAATGGCACCACCTTTTGTACTCACCCTTTGGTTAGCTTAAAAAATAATGCAGGCATGTAGACCCATTAAAAAGGGTCTCCTGGAAAACAAGCTTTTTTACTCTAAGCACAAGGGCTGAAAATTAAAATGTGCCCACATGCACGTGCGCACACACACCCTCTGAAAAGCTCTGCTTCTCATCCTTTTCCTTCTGAGCAGAGGGAGTGAACTTTTAATTGTAATATCACAAAGGCCCGATCACATCCTGGTTCAAAGTCTGTCTTAATCAGGCCTGACCACACACACAGCTGTCTATCTTATTTCCTTCACTTAAGAAACATTATTGGCTCAGTAAATCCCCACATCTGACATGCTTTAAAAATTGCCCTGATTTGGTCATATGCTCCGAAGATACGCATGTATATATTTCAGATTCAAAAGGCTTTGTTTCATTTTTTATTTTGCCTGTTTTTCATCAAATAGCCAGAGTCTGCTCAGAGCTATATCTTATGCATTATTATTAGACAGAAGTTTAAGGCAAGATACCTCAAAGTCCACTGAGTTACTTGGAGCATTTGCTATTTTCCTATAATTTGGGACCATATTGTTACAAGCAATATTATATTTTACATCTGTGTCTAATTACATGGGAAAGACAGCTGTGCTGAAGGCGGACAGATTTACTGAGGACTTGAGTGGAGACTGCTGTATGAATTATTCATTTTTCATTATTCCTTGTCTCCTCCTTTTTACAGTAGTTTCTGACAAAACAAACTTAATATAGGAGCAAGATTAAAAGGCAAGAGGACGCTTTGTGATACTTTGATGACTGATAGCCAGTTCTAAAGTACAACAATGAGATTTTTCATTACACTGCTGTCAAGGGGAGAATCCAAATAAACCAGCCATCTCTGAGCCAGAACTGTCTGCACACCGTCCCTAACATAATTGATGATGCCTTTGACAAACAAGGCCATTGTCGTGTCGGCTGGTGTTTTGTTAGACAGGGAGGCGGACGGAGAGAAAACTCGGGTTTGCCAAGAGAAAAGAAGCAAAAACCAGCAGGGAAAGATGCTGTGTGGTCAAATATTGGGAAACATAAAAGCATGAGGTTTTGGAAACTTACTTTTTATGTTTCTTTAATTTTGAGGTTTATCTGCAATCTGAGGTACTATTAAGCAGATAAAACTCAGTCATCAACAGCTTCCCCTTTAGCATATGACATGTGGGCTCTTATTTTGGGAGTTACCTTAGATGCACAACTGGGATTTTGCCCGTAACACTCTGGAAGCCAGACAATGTACACACCCACGCTGAAATGCTAAATAAACACAGACTGAGTGAAGCGTTCACAAGCCACTTGTATAACTCATCTGAAAGTGTTGTACATTTATTGATTCAGCTTCCTTTCTGATCTACCAGAAGCTGCCCCGGTTTCTAATTGGGAAATATGCCCCACAGTTCATTTGGAACATTGGCTTTCCTGAACTGTAGCCCCAAAATAAGGGGGGAAAAAACTCAACCCAAACACTTTTTTCCTACAGCTTCTGCCACTGCTGTCAGTCACTGTCCTGTAATACTTTCCCTTAGGGATAGGATGGGAGGAGGTGTCATCTCCTTGAATCAGGACCTAGTATACATTAGTGATAGGTAGTCTAACAATGCTAATGATTTACACGTCTGTTATGTGTCCCTAATTGACGAAACCTGAAAACTGGGAATAAAGATGGACCCAGAAGTTGCAGAAATATGAGAATTTTAAAATGAAAACTCCACAGGTAGATCCTACTACATACAGAGATATTACACTGAAATAAGAAACATGGATTCAAGCCAACCCAAATGTTGGCAACCTCTTACTTCTTGTGGCTCAGACCTGTCTGCAGTAAAGGAAGCATGTGTTTCCCCTCCTTATCCCCAAATCTACAACATCCATTTTTTTCAGTGATGGATGGAACTAAGTGTCTCCTCTTTTAGGGTAAAGTAGTCAGCCCTACAAAACTCTGGGCAAAAATAATTCAAGTTGAGCAGCAACAAATCAGAACTTGCCTTTGAAACTGTCAGTGCTAATGAGCACTTCATTGTTACACCTGCTCTCCAGAACTGACAGCAAAATCCCTGGGTTTGCTCCCAAAGTCAAGACTGCTTTGTGGCAAATAGGCGAGCCTGCTGCCATCCGCCAACCAGCTCATTGTGTTGAGTACATTGCCCATGACAGCACGCTTATTTTCTGTCCTTAGGCTATTGTGCTAGTGTCCCTTGAAAACAACGGACTGAGATCTGTCTACAGCAGAGTGTAATAATATTATTAAAAATATTGGCATAAAGAACACAGGACGTGGTGAAAAAACTAACTACGTAGTAAGCAGATCATAAGAGAAATGCCCTTTAAACAAAATTGCTCACCCTTTTTCTTGTACTATTTTCAAAAGATATTTTGTTTTATTGATTGTCAGATATGAGGTTGCAGATGAAAGTGAATCTGTCTCTGCTACACTTAACACTCTTTATAGTCATATCTTTGTCCCTTCCCCTTGGACAATGATGTGTGCAATCAGTGCTCATTTGGTCTCTTATCTGTGAGCTCATGAAGAAAAGTAGTTTGAATAGAAGCAATGATGGGCAAACTTCAAAAGCTTTGGAAGATCATGTTTGGTTCAGATAAGCATCCAAAAGGCTGGCCCTTGATTCAAGCTATCTAAACACCTTGGGTGTCCAACATTTAACTGAAAATCTCTGTTAAAGCGGGTCTTAGCCACAAGATTTTTATTTCTGCTCTCTTCCAGATGGATGAAGTAATGATGCGCTTCCTTTTCAGTCTCTGAAAGGCAAGGAAAAGCCAGGGCATGCTGCTTTGTTAATACTAAAAAGAGGTGAAATATGAAGGCCTGGAGTTTATCTCAGTTCTCATTTTAATCAGACTTGTTTGAATATCAGAAATGAGTGGGTATGTTAATTGGGTATGCTCTACAAACAATAATCTCAGAGCTGTTGGCACAAGGCTTGACCATCTCAGCCTCTGCCTTGATGGAGAGGTGTCAACTGTGTTGGCTTTGCACCACTATCTGTATATTACTTTCCACCTGACTCCCTGACACTGTCACGTTGGGAATGTACTGGTGGCATGGGATGATGACAATTTAATGTCTGTGAAGGCAGAGTTGCACACAGGACCTGTAACTACCTGTTTTGCTGCCAAGTTGCCTTGAGTTGCCAGGCTGGTGTCAAATTAGCAATAGCATTAGAAAGATCTGGGGTTTTTTTTCCTCCTATTTTCTCATCTCCAGTTACATGTAAAATACATCTAATGGGTTTAGAGATCTTCTCTCCTTCTGTCCACCTTCCTTGTAACAAATCTGCTCATTTATTTGTATAGAAAATTTCTTCCTTACACACATACAGTATTGTGTGGTGAGATGTGTCCCTGAGAACTTGCACTGAAGGGAATTTGTGAACTCTTTGGAGGCAGAAATAGAAAAAAAAAAATGTTTCAGGTCATCTGAATCACCTGCATAAGCTGCATCTAACCCCACAGGAAACAGTAGTTTTGTGATCTCTGTGTTCACAGGAAAGACAACATGGACAATAGCTATCACTTTTTACCTCATCCACGCTAATGAATCTTTTTGCAAAGCACTTTAAAAATGAATTACCTGCAAGCCCCTTTAAAAATATACACACGGTGGAGGTTTCCTGCCACCACTTCAAAACCCTGTACAGCCAAGACTTGCGTAGTATCATAGAATGGTTTGGGTTGGAAGGGACCTCAAAGATCATCAAGTTCCAACCCCCCTGCCGTGGGCAGGGACACCTCCCACCAGACCAGGTTGCTCAAGGCCACATCCAGCCTGGCCTTGAACACCTCCAGGGATGGGGCTGGAAAAAATACTCTCCTTTTGTTGTCGTAATTATAGTCATAATGCTTATGGTTTTACACTGCTCCTTCTCAAGCATTCAGTTGTTGTTCAGAACTTCAAATGCTATTTGTAAAAAGATCATGTCAGCCATCACTGAAATGCACCACCTCTGGGCTGGAATGCAATGGGATTTAAGAGTAAAATATTCTTTGTGGCATAACAGCTCGGGAGAGAAAGGAAGAGCCTTCTCTTCTCCAGGCTGAAGAAGAGTAGGGAAGAACTGATTTTCATACATAAAAGGATCCCAGTTGTACTTGTTCTGCTATGCTTCATGAGTTAAAAAGAAACAAAACTAATATTGCAGATGTAGGCTGACAATGCAATGTTTACCAGTTCTGACATAAAACTACTGAGCGTAAGGAAGAGGGCACGAGTTTATCAGCTTTGAAGAAGTGTCACTTTACCAGATGGCCCCAGAGGACATAATCTCAGTCACCTCTTACCGTATCTCCACAGCTTGCGCCTGCCAGCCAATGGGTTCAGCCAACGCAACGTTCAGCAGAAGCTGGCGATGCCACCCCAGGACAGGATTCTGCTACTGCAAACCAGGTGTGGCAGGGCCCAGCTGCGACAGATGTCTCATGGGCTACTGGGGCTTTGGAGAAAATGGCTGTCGCCCTTGTGACTGTGCCAGAGACTGCGACCAGCGTACTGGAAACTGCTTCAACGGGTAAAGAAGCCCTCCTTTGGGTTTGCTTTCAGATGGGATTCTGTGAAATGAAACAAAGATTAACTGCAGTACTGCAGCAATGACAGTAATTGGAGGATGCTGGAGGGTGCACAATCATTTAAAAAGGTGGCTGTAAAGCATAAAAGGTTTCTTAGATTCTGTTTGGTGACTGGCACACTTTTAAGTCTATAGTATTATCCAAGGCAACCTTGAAATGATGACTTTTTACAGTAATAATAGCCAACTCCACAATGCCATGGCAGCATCTTTAAATATACCTGTTTGCCTTCAAAATAGATGGAAGAGTCTTGAGAGCTTGTCTCTCATCTTTGCCCAGGGAAATAAATTACAAGGTCTCCCTCTTGTTTCTAGAGGGCAGGCCTGTACCCTAAACATACATTAATCAGAACAAAAATCCAGTGGTTTGCTGAGTGTTTGCTGTTTAATGAGTCCTGCAGGTGTCCTCAGTTCATAGTGACATCAACAAGTGGTCACTAAGTTTGAGTTACTTAACTCAGTAAAAACAAACAAACAAAAGCAAAAAAGGCACAGCACATAGTTACTTTAAAAAATTATTAAGTCAGCAGTGGTAAGGTGCAAATAAAGCCTAGATCTTGTGATGTCTCTATATGGCATGAAGTCTTGCTCTTATTTGCACTCCCAACCTGAAGCAAGCAAACTCATCAGTCTGGATACAGCCACGCGCCACAAACACCTACTTCTCACCCATCTGCTGTCTTGACCAACTCTTCTGTTTTATGTGTCCCCCCAGCTATGACAACGAGCCATTCTTTAACATCCCTATCGGGGGACGAATCCCTGACCTTGAGCAAATGCCAACCAACGAGAGCGAAGAGGAGTGGAAATGGAATGACCACGAGCAGGGATTTTCTGCACTGAGGCACCCAGGTACAGCCCAGAGTCTGGGAACATTTAGTAACTTCACTCACTGTCAGTTTTTCTTCTCTCCACCCTGACTTAAACTCCCCCACTCATCTCTAGCTTGTCTGTCCCCCACCTGCTGGCAACATCTGCTAATCTGAACTATACAGATTATCATTACACTCACACTGCTGTTTTCCAAACCAACCGTACTACCCAACTTTGGTTTTGGAAATTGGTAAGTGATGAATAAGATTGTGCGGAAAAAATACTCTCCTTTTGTTGTCGTAATTATAGTCATAATGCTTACGGTTTTACACTGCTCCTTCTCAAGCATTCAGTTGTTGTTCAGAACTTCAAATGCTATTTGTAAAAAGATCATGTCAGCCATCACTGAAATGCATCACCTCTGGGCTGGAATGCAATGGGATTTTAAGAGTAAAGTATTCCTTGTGGTTTAACAGCTCGGGAGAGAAAGGAAGTATACTGTATCCAGCTAAAGTTACAAAGCAAGCAGGCTGATAGAATGAGGTGGAGCCTTTAATACTTAAATAGTTCTCAGTTTTGCTTGCTGTGTATAAAGGTCAGCACCTACCAGCATCAATGGCTTGGTAAGACCCAGAGGTAATAGTGCCACCTATTGCATATCTTGACTATTTCAGGACAGGTATTAATACCAACATGGATCAGTATTTCTTAGCTTATAGCATCAAGCAAAGGCATTATTACTTACATGATTTACACCTGGATCTGATTCTTACAAATGTCTCTATTAGTATCAGTTTATTAACTGTACAATAGACCCCATGAGGGCTGCATTTTACTTTAAAGTGCTGATCAGATTTCAGAACAATTATTGTATCACCTAACAAGAAACAGATTGGCAAGTAACTGAGCTCACTCTCAAATTTACCCCTAAAAGTCCATCCATGTTATGGGAATTATATACATATAACTTTATGACTGAGTATCATTTGCTCTCCTTTTCTCTCATGCCCTGGCTCTTCTCCAACCCTTTGTGTTCTGCGGTTCCCCTGCTAGAAAAGTGTGTGTGCAAAGAAAAGGTGCTTGGGAGTGTCACTGACTTCTGCCAAATGAAATACGCTTATGGTAAGTGTGTGACATGCCCTCAAGGTATGATAATTTCACAGTGTTCTCTCTATCCATGTTGTTAGCTGATAGCAATGAAAAAATGACAGGACTGGCTAAGTCATGAAATAAGAGGTAGGATTTCTTCTGCCTTCTTCTGTCTAGTGACACGTCCAACTTCTGATCAGAACTGAATAGCAGTTTTCATGCAAGGCTCCATGGTGTCTCCTTTCCACCCAGTTGGCTTCCCTCCTTACAGTACAGGGAGAACTAGAATTGTAACTCAGTAGAATGGTTGGCCTCTGCATCAAGAATAAATGATAAAAACCTTCCATCTAAACTGCCATTGGTTTTGCACTCATTATGCAGGTTCAGATGGCCATGCTAGTTTACCAGCAATCTATTTCATACTGTAGTTTTTAAACACCAGGTTCACGCTATCACATGCAGCAAGAAAGGAAAGCTCTGGGATCCAAAGGTTTGATGTGCTTGTGTCATGATACAACAAAGCCTGCTTGTGGGGCCGGTCTAGATGAGACTACCCAGCCAAGAAGCTATGGGATCCTATTAAATTAAAGGAACAGAAATTTATCATGGCAACCAGATGTTAGGTCCCAAAACAAAAAGTCTTTTTTTCTGGTTTGTTGTGCAATCATGGAATTTTAGCCATGTGACATGCCTGCAGTCTGATGGGAACCTCCTGACTTCTGCCTGTAGAGCAGACAATCCCTTCCCGTAGGACAACATATTTTTGGGAGGCCTCTATTAAAGCTCAACACAAGTTTTCAAATGGCAAAACATAAAGCCTAGAATCAGAGCATTTAAAAACCAGACTATTAACCTGCTGATCTGCTTTTTCCACCCTCTCTATGTACATACAAGTGCTTTCCAAGCATTTGACATCAGCCCATTAAAAAGTAGTTGCTAAATAATAAAGAATCAGTTAACTACTTCAATAGAAAAATCTAGCTTTTTTCTCCAAATTTATTTAGAAGAATCACTGAAGTGGACAAGCACTGAAATATACTTTCTGCAAAACTACAGGTTTTTTTGTTTCCATGTCTTCTTTCAAGGTGTTAAAATTCTACCTTTCAGCAGCATAAACGAAAATTCATTTAGAAATTCATGGTTGGTCTCTATTTTGATATGTTTTCTGGCAGTGATAAAAGCAAGAATATTATCAGCTCATGACAAAGGGACCCATGCAGAAGTTGTTGTGAAAGTGAAGAAAGTCCTGAAATCAGGAAAAGTGAAAATTTCTCGGAGCAACAGAAGCATTTACCCAGAATCCTGGACCAACAGGGGATGTACATGTCCCATTCTCAATCCTGGTAAGGACAAAAGGCTTACCAGGTGTTTTTCTTCCTCTGTAAACAGTAGGGACAATTCATTATGAACATTAGCTATTGGTGCTCAACACTTCCCATCAGCCTTTCTGGGGCAGAGTCCTGTGATTTATCCAGACCAAAGAGGGAGGGACAGAGAGCATAAAATCAAATGAATTTAATTTCAAACCAAGACAGACAGGAAAATCTTTAATAATTAGAAAAATCATATTTTAAGTAAATAAAGCCCCCTTTTTTATAACCAGTTTAGGAGAGGCCTCTAGGTTTGCTCTTTAACCGCATTCCATCAGAATGGTCCAAGTTTGTTCACTTTTAATTATGAAAATCTCCTTGCAGCAGTGGAGTGGAGAAGTAGGGTAGTAGAAAGCAGAAACCTCCTTCTTCCCAGCTCTGCTGCAGGTAGAAACATCACACTACAGACTGCAAAGCTCCATGCTAGTGCTGAGTGATGTTGCATTACTCAGCAGATACATTCCTCAATTCAACCTTCTCTATTGCTGCCTTTCCTGCAATACAACTTAGTGGTCCACAGAGAAAAAATCCACACAGCTAAAATCTCTGGGTAAATATCAGAATAATGCAATTTTGAGCCTGGTCTCTATTCAAGTACGATCATAGAGTCTTTTAGGTTGGAAAAGACCTCTAAGATTAGTTCTCTGCATTTAGTCCTCTGCATTTAGTTCTGTTTGTTTGGGTTTTTTTCCTATTTATTGACTGAAGTTTTGCCTTTTTTTTTAAAATTAGGTACCGACTACCTTATAGCAGGCCAGGAGGACTCTAGGACCGGCAAACTCCTTGTGAACATGAACAGCCTCGTCAAACCCTGGAAAGCACATCTGGGAAAACAAGTATCAGATATTCTTCGAACTGGGTGCAAATAATTTCTGCTCCAGAAGTTACAGTGCTGGACTTTGCCTTTTAGGAACACTGCAGTGAAAGGTGTAGTTAGTTCACGCGTTCCCATTCAACAAGCTCCTAGCAGAAGTGATGAAAGCAGAGTTACCATCCTGTCTCCTTTCATGTGCTTAGACAGGAAACTCGAGACACAATTACTTTTTTTCAAGAAGTGCACAGCCTTATCATACAAAATTAACTAGCGTGGCATACATAGGTTGCAAGTCAGTTCTTCGTTTGAGCCTGTTTCCACACAGCCAGAGAATCATTTTACAAGGCAAAACTAAAGATACGGATTAGTGTTTCCATACTTCAGGTCAGAGCCTGAGAGTAATATGTATAAGCTGCTTACATAATGCATTCATTACCTGGGTGTAGTTCTCTTTAGAAGTGACCACTAACAGGCAGCAATTTATTTCAGCTTTACAAGTGGCATAATACTACAGAAGCATGTCAAATAATACTTATTTAAAAGAGCTCAGATTGATTTAACATCAGACTGCAATTACGCCAGTATAACAGGCTGCTTTCTAGAAGGCACTATTATCCCACTGCTGAACAGGAACAAACTAACCTGTCACTTATCCTGGGACAAGGCCCTTTATGGACGTACATTGCTCTCATCAGTGCTTAGCGCTGCAGTCTGCTGCAGAAAGCACCACAACTAAAACTCGATTCCAACATCTGTTCTCAAAGGTCATTTTGCTCTTTGCTGTAGTATTTAGTCTGTAACACCACAAAGGTTTCACAGCGACGACCGCTAAAAAAGCCTTAAGCCAGTAAAGAGCCAAGACACGTGAGGAACTAGTAACTGCTGCAGTTGAGACTGTAACACTACAAAAGCTACAAGGCAGAAGCAGGAGGTAAATGACATGGCTGGACTGTGTATTAAATGAAGTAGCTATAGTTACTGTGAGTGGAACCTGGCTATTCAGACTGTGCTCGAGACCACTGGTATTTGATTGCACTTAGCACTTTCGTTCTGCTTTATCTCCTCTTGGTCACACTTCAGGTTAGGACACTGAAGCTCGGCTTCTTTACCATTGTGATGGGGGTTATTTTTCCCTCCACAGAAGTATAGGAGTGGTAACATTCACACTCTAGGTAAAAATAGTTCTGTTCTACAAAAGCATTCTTTCTAAATCAGTTTTACCCTACCCTGTAGTAATTAAGGGGTAGCTACTTAAGTCATTCCCTAACACAGTATTTTGAGGAAATCATAGTTAAAGACCTGCGTCCCCTGTTTAAGGACTCACAATCAAATGAAGCTGGTTGGAGCACATTATCTCATCAAGTAAAGCAGAAATTATAATGAGTCAGTCTATTCTTTCAGGGGGTTACAAAGAAGCAGCATGTTCACATGCTACTTTTGCATCTTTCTATTCCATGTCTGTAATTTTTTCATGCTCTCAGGAAAAAGGAGATATCTTCATTTAGCACTGTCTGACTGGCACACGGGGTATCTAGAAAAACCTAATACTGATGCAGACGGATGGAAGCCCTGTCTGTAGCTTAGGCCATCAATTTGTTCTCTTTATCACTGGGAATCTGAAAAACCAGCTTCTTTCATTCCACGTGTTGCTGTTTTCCTTTTAGTTTCATATTGGTTGAACAGAAAAAGCCTCAGCTCATTGGGAAATGGCTAACAGGCAGATATTTACAAAACAGAAGCTCCACTTTTCTCCCAGCAGTGCATAAACAGTATTTATTCCTCCCTCCTTTTCAGAGTCTCCCCTCCTCCAATGCTAGTGCTTTCCCTCTTTCATTTCATTATTTATTTGTTGTTACCTAAAGTGGTATCCAACAATGTGGCACCTCCAACAAGCCATTTAATTAATGCAATAAAATACTTTTAAACCAAGAAATTTGGCTTAATTTGAAATGTCAGCTGACTGAAATTAAGAGCATAGCAACTGCTTTATTTACTGTCTCTAGAAATCATCTCACAACAAAAAGATTGACTAGTTCTCTTTCAAATATCAATACAGATGTGTAAGTGAATTTACAGTCTGTTCTCAAAGAGCCTCTCAGAATAAATGAAAATCAAGTGTAGATTTAGAGCTAAACTAAGGCACACGCTTTTCGACACAGAGCATTTTACCTGCAGGGGATCTTATTTAATGATGATCATACTCCACTTTGGTTTATAGCCAGTATCACATTAAAGCAAACTCCCATATTCCACTTTTTCTGCCAGACCAGTGATTTTGTGAGGAGGGTAAACATCTGCATAGTTCCCTTCTGTGGGTGAAAGTTATTTTTTAACATGGTCATCTACAAGCATTTCTAGCTACTGCCAGTAGAATATTATTTGGAACAAGAATATTGATACCCTGGTGTGTTCTCCCAGGGCCTGCTGTAATTCAGCGATTAATGACTACCAAACGCATACACTGATGTATGCAAACAAGATATCTGAAATATGTGATATATTGATGACTATCTCAAAAATAGGTGACACACACACTTTTGAGAAAAGCATATTTGGGGGAACCCAAAAATATTCAGTTAATTTCTTCGCCTCCTTCTAATTTCCCATTCTTTTCAGATCTCTAATTTACTTGCAAGTACCAGTATAGCTGAGTCGACTTCATTCCCTCTGTTAGTTGGAAACACCGCACATTTAGTTCCAACTACTAGCTCTTGTTTAATGGTTTTGCTCTATAGAGTAGCAGATATTCCATAAGTGTGGGATTTAATTGAAAGTGAAAAGAGCACATCAGGGTGAGTCAACACGGCAAGTTGACTTTTTATTGGTATCACTACTTCTGTTAATCAGGTATCTCTTGAGTTCACAGAGGAAAAACATAAAAGAATAAAGTTCTAACTCACACTGAGCTACCATGTGCAATCTCTTTGTTCTGCAGCGCTGCAACCCAGGTAGCCTCTCTGAAAATAAGTATCTAAGGAGAAGTGAACTGCATAGATGAAGTTACAACAGCTACTGATTAAAGAAGAGATGAGAAAGTTTAAATTGATCACCATGTGACTTTGGAAAGGGAAAGAGTTATTTAACTACCACAGAAGGTATTCCTGTACCAAAAAAAGGATTGTTTAGTAGGCCTGTGTACAATACCACATACCTTGTGATCCTCTCTGTGACTGCGTGTCTTCGGTGGCACAGTAATACAAATATTAACAGGGAAAAAAGGATGCAATTGCCCTATACAGAAGTGGCTGGACATGTCATCTAACATGGGATCTGTCCTTAAAATGGCCACATGAACAGCCCTGCAGCACCCAAATAGACAAGGCATCTCATAAGCAGTAGCAACCACATAGCAAACAGTAGCAATGACATATCACTTGGAAATCCTACATAAAGATGAAATAAAAGCCTTTACTCAGAAGAAAAGAAGTCTGGAAAGCTGTGGAAAATTTGTAATAAGGCAGGTGATAGCTTGAAGCAAAAGAAGATGCAACTTTCCACAGATAGCAGCAAACTCAGGATGCTGGAGGTCACAGCAGCTCTCTCACAGCTGTAGGTGTATCCAGGAATACATGGTCATTCTGGCAATGCGAACCCTTAAAGCATCAAACTAGTTCATTAAATGGCCATTGTGAATGCTGAGCCCTAACTGCAATGTACCAACTAACACTTCTCCAGCTTCTGCTCTTAGCAGGCAGCTAAGAAGGAAAATGTACCCGTGCACAACCTTTGTACATGGCTCTTCTGAGAGGCTCACTGCTATAAAGAACGTTTTCTCTGTAGCATTTACCATGTCTCATAATTTTTCCGTGCACCTTGATGCAAGCTTTCTTTGAACTGATAACATTCACATGATGTGCTCCCTCAAGTCTCCAAAACCTGGAAAAGTTACTGTGTTATTTGTTATGTGTTGTAGCACTTTTTTTTTTGTACTTAAAACTTCAATTAAAAATACTCAGACATTTATATTGATGTGAGGCTTGGGATCTATTTTTAAAATTTTAAACCATGCAATCCTCAAACACATTAATTCTTTTTAAGTTAATAAACCACAAACATTCCAAACATCAGGCTCTTGCTAAGATAGTGTTAGCAGAGTCAGGCAAATGGAGAAAGCCTTTTAGCTCATAAGGGAACCATGATACACATCATTTTTCTACTGAGCGACTCACTAAAAAACAAACACATGTACATTTGGTATGAGAACATGTACACAGAAACACAAAATTCTACTGAGCGACTCACTAAAAAACAAACAAACATACATTTGGTATGAGAACATGTACAGATTAGAAACACAAACCAGGTACAGTTAATTTATGTAAATGGCATGTTAATTTGATAACTGATCAAAACTCAATCCTGCAAAATCTTACACATAGGTACTTGCAGGAGTTTAATTCCCAGAAGAAATACACGAAGTTTTACTGGTTTGAGGTCCAATGATGTCGAAAAAAATATTTAACACATCCCAAAGCAGCTTCTTTACATTTAAAATTTTAAACCATGCAATCCTCAAACCACAAGCACATTAATTCTTTTTAAGTTAATAAACCACAAACATTCCAAACATCAGGCTCTTGCTAAGATAGTGTTAGCAGAGTCAGGCAAATGGAGAAAGCCTTTTAGCTCATAAGGGAACCATGATACACATCATTTTTCTACTGAGCGACTCACTAAAAAACAAACACATGTACATTTGGTATGAGAACATGTACACAGAAACACAAAACAGGTACAGTTAATTTATGTAAATGGCATGTTAATTTGATAACTGATCAAAACTCAATCCTGCAAAATCTTACACTGCAGGAGTTTAATTCCCAGAAGAAATACACGAAGTTTTACTGGTTTGAGGTCCAATGATGTCGAAAAAAATATTTAACACATCCCAAAGCAGCTTCTTTACAGATGCAAGACATGAAAATAGAAATGCATGATAGAAATGCCTCCATCAAGGCAGAGTATTACAGATACTTACCTTTGCCACTCTACATTAGAGTTGCACTTACTCTCGTGGATCCTGTACAAGTATTTACCTTACCTGTAGGCTTCTACTGAGAAACCCGTACCTCTAAGACCCAAGTCTTCATTCTTTCCACATCAATGACACGATAAATATTGCCATCATGCTTTTGTCTTGCAGCTGAGAAACACTATAATGTAACACTTTCAAATACACAAGTCTGAGTCTTAAAAGTGACTTTAGATCCAGGAGACTATCCACCCGTGCCCAACCTTTGTGCATGGCTCTTCTGAGAGGCTCACTGCTATAAAGAACGTTTTCTCTGTAGCATTTACCATGTCTCATAATTTTTCCGTGCACCTTGATGCAAGCTTTCTTTGAACTGATAACATTCACATGATGTGCTCCCTCAAGTCTCCAAAACCTGGAAAAGTTACTGTGTTATTTGTTATGTGTTGTAGCACTTTTTTTTTTGTACTTAAATCTTCAATTAAAAATACTCAGACATTTATATTGATGTGAGGCTTGGGATCTATTTTTAAAATTTTAAACCATGCAATCCTCAAACCACAAGCACATTAATTCTTTTTAAGTTAATAAACCACAAACATTCCAAACATCAGGCTCTTGCTAAGATAGTGTTAGCAGAGTCAGGCAAATGGAGAAAGCCTTTTAGCTCATAAGGAAACCATGATACACATCATTTTTCTACTGAGCGACTCACTAAAAAACAAACACATGTACATTTGGTATGAGAACATGTACACAGAAACACAAAACAGGTACAGTTAATTTATGTAAATGGCATGTTAATTTGATAACTGATCAAAACTCAATCCTGCAAAATCTTACACATAGGTACTTGCAGGAGTTTAATTCCCAGAAGAAATACATGAAGTTTTACTGGTTTGAAGTCCAATGATGTCTAAAAAAAAATACTTAACACATCCTAAAGCAGCTTCTTTACAGACAGTTGATTTGTGGGATGCAAGACATGAAAATAGAAATGCATGATAGAAACCCCTCCATCAAGACAGAGTATTACAGATACTTACCTTTGCCACTCTACATTAGAGTTGCACTTACTCTCGTGGATCCTGTACAAGTATTTACCTTACCTGTAGACTGCTACTGAGAAACCCGTACCTCTAAGACCCAAGTCTTCATTCTTTCCACATCAATGACACGATAAATATTGCCATCATGCTTTTGTCTTGCAGCTGAGAAACACTATAATGTAACACTTTCAAATACACAAGTCTGAGTCTTAAAAGTGACTTTAGATCCAGGAGACTATCCCTACACGTTGCTACTAGATAGTAGCTTTATGCCTTCATGACAAGTACCAACATGGGACAATAACAAGTTCTGCTGGCCCAGACTGTCAGTCCCTCTGCTCTTCTGCATTTGAAAAATTGCAAGTCTACCTCTGAAAATATTAACTCAATTTATAACATGGCCTTTATGAGAAAAATCATAAGACTTGAGGATATTTCAACTGTTAACTGTGCAGTAACACCCATTAATAACGTTATGCACTGCCAGTATAAAAACATAATGGTATCAACTGGACTTACTCTAAATCAGCAGCTTTGCACACAGCATGTGAAATGCTAACTACAAGCATGGCATCCAACCAAATTCTGCCAACCTGAACTAGAACTCTACTCATCTTACCCTATGCAGTCAGAACTAGCCTACAGTGACAAAGATTAAAAAAAAGAAAAAAAGCCTAACTTCTTACTGTTTCAGGCCTTGAGAACCTCATGCTCTAGCTCTGAATTAACCACCAAATTACTTAGCTTGATATTTTAAATAACTTCACTTTTTAAATAATCATTGCTGCTGTTCTCCACTCACAGCATGTGAAATGCTAACTACAAGCATGGCATCCAACCAAATTCTGCCAACCTGAACTAGAACTCTACTCATCTTACCCTATGCAGTCAGAACTAGCCTACAGTGACAAAGATTAAAAAAAAGAAAAAAAGCCTAACTTCTTACTGTTTCAGGCCTTGAGAACCTCATGCTCTAGCTCTGAATTAACCACCAAATTACTTAGCTTGATATTTTAAATAACTTCACTTTTTAAATAATCATTGCTGCTGTTCTCCACTCTACTGGGTAGATCTTCTCTCACGTTCTCAGTATCATTAAGAAAACATCAGCTGCAGGGGGGTTAAAAGCAGTTGAAAAACAACTGCAGACAGGCTGGTGCTGTTCAACAAAATGAAGTCACAGCCAATGAATAGAGCTGATTAAGAATAAATGACAAACTGTTGGTAGTTTCTCTACACTTCCCACACTAACACTGCTAGAATTTGAATGAGAAGTAAAACAAGAGTCTAAGAAGCATATAATATCCCTTTTTCTTGCCTAGGAATAAGAAAGTAGGTTTACCTATTTGGGTAACAACTTTCCTCAAAGAGATTCATTGAGGTATGATCAGATAAGTGCCTTAGACATCACTGTAAGGTTTAACAAGGACATTCTCAGTAAGAACTGCATAGGATATAGATCTTGTTTCCAACATAGCCCTGGCAGATCACCAGATCTAACGATCCCTAGAATAAACTGGGAGAAAAACATCTCCCTCTACACACTGTTGCGTACTTCATCACCAGATCTAACGATCCCTAGAATAAACCGCAAGAAAAACATCTCCCTCTGGACACCATTGTGTACATCATTCCTGTTTCAGGGAAGAAGGGGAAAAAAAATAAAAAAGGTCATTTTCACACCTGAAGTAAGGTCGTATCTCTAGGAAAGCTACTAAACACAAGTGAAATGCAAGTAGGCTGTACTGCAGAGAAAAGCAGAAAAAAATTAATGAGCAACTTTTAAACACATTCTGAACATGCAATTTTATCTAACTTTAACCATTTTAAAGTAGTTAACTATATTTTAGAATATATTTTATGTTAAAACAACCACCTATAAGAGACAAGTTTTATAGGCAATCTTTATTCCCATCAGGAGATGTGACACACACTCCACTGATTCAAGTTTAAGTTGATAGCAGGAACAACCTCATCTTAACAAGCAAGTTATGACAATTTATAGATGAATCTATGGCCTGCATGATGGAGGGGTGCCAGCCAGTTGGTAACGGTCCTACCCAGCCTTCAAAACTATGGCTTGTGTCACCACTGCACTAACTCCAGAATTACAAGGGCATGACTTTTAAACACATTCTGAACATGCAATTTTGTCTAACTTTAACCATTTTTAAGTAGTTAAAATATATTCTAAAATATAATTATGTTAAAACAATCACCTATAAGAGACAAGTTTTATAGGCAATCTTTATTCCCATCAGGAGATGTGACACACACTCCACTGATTCAAGTTTAAGTTGATAGCAGGAACAACCTCATCTTAACAAGCAAGTTATGACAATTTATAGATGAATCTATGGCCTGCATGATGGAGGGGTGCCAGCCAGTTGGTAACGGTCCTACCCAGCCTTCAAAACTATGGCTTGTGTCACCACTGCACTAACTCCAGAATTACAAGGGCATGCAACAACCAAGGAAGAATGATTAAAACTGGAAAACGGAAATATTACATAGTAATACTTTACAAGGCAGTATTTTAGGAGCAATGATAAAAGTCCGTAGGACAAGTAAAATCACCTCTTTTAATTTGAAAAACTAAATCGATAAAATCCAACTGGGAATATATTGACATAAGACATAGTAATACTTTACAAGGCAGTATTTTAAGAGCAATGATAAAAGTCTGTAGGACAAGTACAAGTAAAATCATCTCTTTTAATTTGAAAAACTAAATGGATAAAATCCAACTGGGATTATATTGACATATAACTGTTGAGGCTGAGTAATTTGTATTAAAAACATATTCTGTAACATCTAGAAGTGCTTCATGCCTTGTTAACAGTTCCTTTTAGCTAAACTCTAATAAACATTTAATCACATTCAGCACATCAGTTTCTGTAAGACAGAGATCAACTGAAAGGCACAGAATTAAATATAGAACAATTACT